GAGGGAGGAAGGGAGAGGGAGGGGGGAGGGAGAGGGTACATGTACATGTATAATGATTATTTCAGTCACATGTACATGTACAGTCAACCTTTAATTACATGTACATGTACATGTACATAAGATGTAAAAGTTAAAAATGACAAAATTGATTGGCAATTAAATCTACATGTACATGTACATTATGTGTCGCTAAAGGCAGAAGTTTAGAAGTTGCTGATTCTCACAATCAACAGTCTACAATGTACATGTAGTCCCATTGTGTGCTACGTACACTTGTACACTACTAGTACATTAAGCCACGCCCCTAGCCCCACCCATCACTTACACTGGTTGATTTAGCTCCTCCTCCTCCTCCAAGTTGAGCTAGTCTTTGTTCCAATCTCCTTCTCTGTCCCTCCCATAAAGCTTTGGCCCTCTCCATATTCTCTTTCAGTCTCTTATTCTCTTCTTTGAGAGCAGACACATCTTCGGCAGGACTCTACAGAAACAATCATGAAACATATGTTATGATTAGCGATATGTACATGTACATGTACATGTACTATAGGAACTTAAGGAAGTTAAAAGATTACAGTCAGTAATGTCTATTCCGGACACCTTGGTACCCAATAATACCCTAGCTCCTGATTATGAACCTGTCCTTATTTCAGAGGTTCATTAATACACATTACTATTGTATTGGGACTGATACTACCTGTCCTCATTATAGAGGTGACCTGATTAGCAGATTTGACTGTCACTTCTATTCCAGTGACAGTAAGACTTAAAACCACATTATAATGTCTTTACAATAACAGGATGTCCTTTGAAGTATTGTCACACTATACGACCCACTAGTGCCTTTTCACAAACCAGCAGTATAAAAGGACACTTATACTTATCATTCGTGTATCTTCAGTAGAATAGAACAATTTTTGGAAGGGCTGATAACATAACTGGCCCTACTTCGTGTCTTTTTACAAAACATTAATGATTAACACAACAATGAGTGGGTCTGTCAGAAACGTTACCAAAACCATTTAGGTCAATACTACAACACATTACAACAACACATAATAGTAACATCATGTACATGTACATGTACATGAAATAGCAACTCCAGAATGTGTGCACAGTTACAGTCAAAACCAATTACTGTTACGGTGACATTCCTAGTTATTTTAAAAGAGGATTTTCATTTTATCTTACAACATTAAATCTTTCTTATCAATTAAAGACATAAATTTTGAGCCGCATAAAATACACACGTACAGTACATGTAGTCATGTAAACATTATACACTGTGTACATGTACTCACTTTGATATCGGCAACATGAAAACCAGTAGTGGGTTCGTTAGAATGAGTGGGCGGAGAACTAGTATAACCGGTTGAACTGGTTTTATTAGCAGACAAACCAGTTACCTCATGAACTGGAGGAGTAGTACTAACAGGAGGAGGAGGAGGAGAAGGTTTTGGATTATTAATCAATGAAGACTGAGTTCTTGATGCAGGCTGAGTTCTTGATGAAGACGGAGTTTTTGATGCCGTGGGAAGGGGAGGGGGAGGAGAGGAAGGAGGAGGAGAAGGAGGAGGGGTGGTGGCAGGAGAGAGAGGAGGAGGAGGAGAATGTGAAGGAGGAGGTGATTCTGACCTATCAATAAATAAATAATAATTAATACACCTATGGTACATGTACATGTACATGTATAAATAAGTCATTTTTACATGTACAAGTATTGCAGGTTTAGTAATTGACATCATTAATTCATGTGTTTCTAAGACCCCTTGCTATATTAACTTCAAAACGACTAATAAATCTCTGGGGAGTGTCTGTAGTAACAAAAGCACTATTAAGTCGTATAGTGGAAGTAAGAGCAAGATCTGTTAGTGTAGATATCCTTCCCGAATATCAGTACTTCTCCTCCTTCATATACAGTAATATATGCCTTGTTGTTATATTGTAAGTACAATGTACATGTACATGTATATAAGGGCAGCAGATTTACATTCTAAATCTTGTGATACATGTACATGTACAGAAAAGGTAAGTGAGAAAGAGAGAGAGAGAGAGAGGGGGAGAGGGAGAGAGAGAGAGGAGGGGGAGAGGGAGAGAGAGAGAGAGAGAGAGAGAGGGAGAGAGAGAGGGGGGGGGAGGGAGAGAGAGAAAGAGAGGACCTGATGTACCTCTGATGTTTTTCTTGTTTTCTTTTCACAGGAGACACATCCTCTGATTCAGCAGTGGATTTAGTGGGCGTGGTTTCGCCATCCGAAGTTGGAGGAGAATTAGACGTTACTCTTTGCTTTCCAGGAAGAGGCTTATAACTAGTGGGAGGAGCAGATTTATAACTAGTGGGAGTGGCTGTTTGATAATCAGTAGTGGCAGGATACAAACCTATAGGAAGTGTAAAATAAGTATAAATTAACAAGTACATGTACATGTACATGCATCAGAAAATGTAACAAAAATGGAGATTTCTGTTATTTTCATTTTTGTCAAAATTTGATCAAAGTCCCCGTACTATAGTACAGAAACTTTGACACAATTTTGGAGTAACTTTTAAAAATTGTAAAAAAATCCAAACTTGATTGAAATGAGCTCAAACTTTCTACGCAACATAAGAACATGTACATGTTAGAAAATGCTATACAAATGATAGTTCAAACATGCATAAAACACGTTATTACATCTACTAGTTTTTAACTTTCCAACAAAACCGTAAGTCTGTATTATTAATAAAAGGTGAACCCTCCTCTTCCTTACCTTCTTCTCCCTCTCCATATTTATAATAAACTAGAAGAACCTTTCTTTGACCTCCCTCCCCTTCGTAGACCTCGTCGCCATAGCTACCGTCGTCATAGACACCGTTGCCATAGCTATCGTACGTGTATGCGTTGGTGTAGCCTCGAGCTTTCCCGTGGACTTTACAAAAAGGATTGTTACAGACAGCAGTGGTGTAGGAGGGGTTGAAAGTCATTGATATGGTCTGGTCTGTCACTGGTATAGTACTACCCTCAGTAGTATAAGAACCACTGGATTCTGTGGGGGAGAGAGAGGGAGAGAGATGAGTGAAGACATTTATAAATGTACATACATAATTATTGTGTACACGTACATAAATTTTAATGTTTTAATGGAATGCTGCTAATTCTGTTACTTTTTTAAATAAACTCAAATTTAAGAACATGTACATGTACACTTTAATACATGTACTGTAGCTCAAGTCAAATCCCTCATCAAAAATAAATGTACATTATATGTACACGAGTAAGCATGAACAATCAGCCATATTGAAGAGGTAAGAGAGTATCTCTTTGTATGCATATGTACATGTACATATGCATACTCTCCCTCACACTCCCTCACTCCCTCTCTCTCTCTCCCTCTCTCTCTCTCCCTCTCTCTCTCTCTCTCTCTCTCTCTCTCTCTCTCTCTCTCTCTCTCCCTCCCTCTCCCTCTTACTCTCATCAGTGTCCATTTGTTTCAGGTCCAGTTCCAGTGGTATCGTCTCTCCGCTAGTATCAATCACAAACTTCTTCACTGCATAGCAGACACTGGACCCAATGATCAGCTGGCCATCATAATCACCGACTGGTAATTGAGTGTAGTCTGAAGTATAGGTCATCCCATTGGATATTAGATCAATCTGGAGAGAGAGGGAGGGAGGGAGGGAGAGGGAGGGAGGGAGAGGGAGGGGGGGAGAGGAAGAGAAAGAGTTAGGATTTAAGACTGTTTTCACGTTCGTGTAAATTTGTACACACAGTGTGTGTGTTCGAAACAGTACTCACAGAAATAACAACAACAACAACAACAACAATAATAATAATAATAATAATAATAGGTAGATAAACATATTGACAGTTTCATTACACTGTACATACACTAGTGTACACTATAGACTAACAAGTTATCAGTGGATGTTACAGGTACATTGTGATCTGCTTTATGGCTACAAAACCCCCCACATATAAAAACCACCAATACACTGCAACCATGGAATCACTGATATTAAGATACACCAAATATTCCCACTATACAGTAATGGCACATGTACATGTACATAAATACTGTATACATGTATGTCCATTTATCTGTCAATTTGTAACTCAGACACACATACACTGTATATGTAATTATTGTTACTAATAGTTTATTATGTAACATGTAACACATGAACATGTACATGTAATGGACTAATGGTATGTACATGTACATGTACGTACACTGAAGGAGCTCAATAGTGTCACTGTCTTGAAGCTGAGGTTAGTCAGTGGTTTGAAGAGAAACCTGACGTTGACAGTTTTTGAAGAGGAGAGAGAGGGAGGGGGAGAAAGAGAAGAAGAACCTTCATCTTCACCTGATTGAGAAAGAGGGGGAGAGAGGGGGGGAGGAGAGAGAGAGAGAGAGGGGGGGGGAGAGAGAGAGGGGGGGAGAGAGAGAGGGGGGAGAGAGAGAGGGGGAGGAGAAAGAGAGGAAGAGAGAGAGAGAGAGAGAGAGAGAGAGAGAGAGAGAGAGATTTATTATAACGTTATATACACATACATGAACATTAATTTCTATCACAAATTTACACCAAAAGTCCCATTACAATGTCCACAACTTATAATTAATAAAGAAATAATTTTGAATTAAGGCAACCACACCCTTTCATTAACAAACCAATAATTCCCACCATAGATGCGTGAATACACAATATAATAATCAGGTACAACAAGGAGAGGACACAATTGAGTCTATTTCTTACTGTTCCTGTCTCCTCCCTGACATTTTGACATCAAATGGACCTGCATATTACCAGTCACCGTCTCTCCACATAAACTGCATACTTGTGACGCCATGGTAACAGATTTGAAGTTATAAAGCACACGCCTACAGCAATTAGAGGACAAGGGAGACTCAGAAAATGTCCTTATTTTAATTTAAAACTTTAAAAAGTTGTTTATGAGTAGAGGGAAGCCATCTTGAAGTCGTGGAAAGGGGAATTCCCATTCCTGACTCATCATCAATGAATATTATAATTAGATCAAATGACCACGCCCTTAATTAGTCGACGTCCTTTGAATAATTACGCGTAATTAATGATCTAGGCGCCGGTCAAAAAAATTAAATTCTTGAAGTATAGGCAATTATTACAATAATTTACTTCATAATTAATTTTAACCATAAACATCAATAGTTTCTTCCCTCTACTGTAAATATTTACCAGAAGTACAAATATTTGTTTTTCCTGTTTTGCTCATTTATCAGTCTAAACAAATTAAAATAAATACAAAGGTTAATGGTAGAAAATTTTGTTGTGTCTGTACATAATTTACTACACAAAACCTAACAAGTTAAGTTGACTGATATAAAAGCAGTAAATTGCTGCAATTCAATTCAGCAATTCAAGTTAAAGCAATTTGATTCAAATTCAAGCAACTCTCTGTCCAATTGACTGAGTCCTGCCAGAATTAATCATGAAAGCTCCATTGATGTCTCTTCTGCTTTCTCTTCTTTGCATGATTGCTCTGACTGCAGCAGCAGCAAGGCCATTCAGGCCAAGAGGGAGGTGCCCTAACAATTGGTTTCACATCCAGTTTGTTTCAATTGCTGAAAATGTCGTCCCTGCGTCTGAGACTGCTCCCACTCCAGACTTCTCCTTCTTTACCGATGTGCTGAAACTCTCACAGGCCCAGATTGAGAAGGTCACTAATGATGCAATGAAGTTCTTTAAAGACAAGTATGGTGTCGATTTTACTGATACAGAACCGAATGATTTGGGAGTGCGAGAGACAGAGGATGCAATGTTGATCCCATTTCAGCTTTCACCTAAAATTGAGTATCAAGTCACATTCAACACATTCATACTCACCGGAAGACCTTACTCTAAATGTTACGAGAACAGGGATGGTGGCTTTGCAGTCTCTTTCAAAAGGGAGCAGAAACTTTTTGGGACTTACGGAGGATCAGAGGGAAAACCCATTGGAACCAATGATGCGATAGTGTATGGCTTTTACAGCATTCCACTTCGCATCCATCGTAAGCCACTTGTGATCCGGTACACATCTGGTTCACCTGCTCGATTGGAAACCAATGATGGATTTCTGATCATAAATTGTGATCTGTTTAGCAAGTTTTTGGGCCATGGAACGGCCAGGGGTGTCAGTGTCTTTACTCCTGAAGGAAATGGAATGATTCGTACCTCAATCAGGAATGTTTTTACTTTTCCTGCACAGCCAAGGCAGCTTAGCTCCTACTATTATTTCTGAACAAACTTTTGCTCTGATCTTTAAGATTTATTTTTGAATAAATTAAATAATTACTCATTTGCTCCCCCTCCCTATGTAGTTCTAGATCTAGTTTTTTGCAGTTTTGTTTCCGTCCTATTTCTTAATATCAAATCAGTTTTTTAATCAAATTGATCAAAATCTTATGGAAGTCATCATCTCATGATGATTTAAATAAATTATCATTTCCCGCGCGGAAATTAATTATAAGCCACGCCCATTTACGCTAGATTTGAATAAAAACTTGAGTGCAGTGCAGCTGCTGCAGTGTTTACTCCAAATAATCATGTCAGAGGGAACAACTGATGGTCACATACTCTCTGGTTTCTTCTTCTTCATTTACGGCGTGTGGTGGAGCATAAACTCTATCCTGGTCTATCTAAGCGGGAAGCATAAGCTACCTATAAAACAAGAAGGTATCTACAAAAAAGAGAACCTTAGATACAAGTCATACATACCCCTACCTGTATTAACAAAGATACCAGTGGAGCCAATACTTAAAGTGGTCCTCCCTTTTCTTGGTGTCCTTTCTGAGGCTTTCCTTGTTGTCAAAGATGATGAACATAATCGCCACATTATATTCTCACCTTTCTCTATGTATAACTCAACAAGCCCGGATCATGAGCTGATAAAGAATATAGCAAAGGTTCATCACATCACACTCTACTCTGCATTTACGCTCGCTGGCATCGTCGACCTCCTCTCGATGAAGATTGAGTTCCCGAAACATGCAGCACAGATTTTTCTTATTTTTCCTTTCTTTACGGAATTCCTCATCTTCTACTTTCACACCAAAGATGGCATGAGGGGAAGTGTTGAACTGATTCTCCACTGGTTTCTCTCAAATATAAGTCTTGGAAGTGCCATATTTGCTGGCCTCAGGTCGTTGAATGCCAGCAATTTCCTAATCAACACCGGATTTTCTGTAAGCCTCTTGCTACAGGGGACATGGCTGTTTGAGACTGGCATAGTGGTCCATGGTGCTATACACTGGACGGACACAATGAATAATGTGATGTTCCTGGTCTCATGTTTTGTGTGGCATACGATATCAATTGTCCTTGGGTATTTGTTGCTCTTTTGCCTAATGGATTGTTGTCTAAGTCGACACTTAAGAAAGAAAAGCAAGTCGTACAAGCTGTTGAATGAAGCAGAAGAAACTGAGATGATAAACATTAGTAATTGAGTCAATGTTTGCCTAGCAATATTTGAATAACAACTTAGCTCTCCACGTTAATAGTTCAGTTAGCTTTGTAGTATCTTATTCCAGTTTTATTCATCATTGTATAATAATGTCTCACTATTTAGTTTTGTCAGTAAATATAATTGTAGTCACATTAAAGTATTCATTGTTTAGCGTAGTTTATGAAAGATTATCTAAACTAACAAATTATGAAATTTCCCAATGCTGCAACAACATTCCTACCATGCAAGATAACATTAGGATAAATCATAAATAGACTATGATGATGGTGATTGTTTAATTTACTCCGATCCAAAACTGATGCATAAAAGTGATAACAATAATAATTAAAATGTAGTACAATATATGTTAAAGCTTTATGTGCATTAATTATTATAAACATTACTTCCACCTACAAACTATATTAAGTTTACTTAATCATAAAATACACAATACAAAGAACAAAGCAATCACTGTATCTATATTTGATGTAAACTCACCTCGTAGGGGGCAATAAATGAATTTCAAAATCTCATCTGTAAAATACTGACATTAATACACTACGTTCTACATGAACACATCAATCAGTGATGAATCTTGATTTGAGCCTTCAGTTAGGTGAGCACGTGTTTTACGTAACAAAATAATTTTACGGAGTCCGTATACTACAATCACGTGTGGCCAGCCCCGCCCTTTATGCGGGCTCCTTTGTGTGCATTGTGTCTATTGCGACAAGAGAAGAGGATAAACAAAGAGAAAAAGAGAAGAAAGAGGCTAAGAGAGGATCATTTCGTGCTCGATACAGTTTGTTTCAGGAGCCTAACGATGAAGACCGAGACAGCTGTCAAGGAGCTTCCAAAACCAACTTCTGCTCCAGCACAGCAAATAAAATTGAATGAAGTAATACAGAATGTCCGCCAGAAGATAAAGACAGTTCATGTAGTGATAGTTATAGGCGTATTCTCTGTCCTGTTGGGGTATTTGAGTGTAGCTCCTCCTACAGACCTCCCCAACTGGCCACTCTACTCTCTTAATGCAAGGACATGGCAGTTCTTTGAGAGATGGGTAAGTGTAGAGTACAGTCTACTTGTATTATTGTTATTGTGGCTAGCCGTTGTATATGAAGAATATAGAATATGCTCCTGTAGATATTGATGCCCTTATGCTATGTAGAAAGTTTGAGTTGATTCCGAAAAGGAATTTTAGAGTTATGGCCATTTTAAAGAAGACGGCCAATTTTTGAAAAATATCCGAGGCTATAGCCCATGGTTTTTTCCGAAAAATGGCTCTGAAATCACCCCAAATTTTTATTACATTTTTTGATACATATTGATGTCCTTATACTGTGTAGAAAATTTGAGCTGTTTCTGACAAGAAATTTTTGAGTTATGGCCATTTAAAGGAAACGGCCAATTTTTGAAAAATACCCAAGGCTATAGCCATGGTTTTTTCTGAAAAATGGCTCCAAAATTACCCCAATTTTTTACATTTTCTGATACATATTGATGTAGATATGCTATGTACAAAGTTTGAGCTGATTCTGATGAATACTTTTCAAGTTATAGCCTTTTAAAGAAATTGGCCCATGGTTTTTTAAGAATGGATCTCAAATCACTCTCAATATGACCCATCTCTTT